GGTAGTAAAGCAGTTCAGGCAATAAAGTAGTTTGTCATATATATTCCTTTTAATTATTATGATCTGCCTTGTAGCAATTATCATTTGCTTTATTGCAGGTAACAGTTAATTGGTAGATAAGTCACTAGGCAAATAAGGAAAGCTGTACTCTTTAGCATTTTAGATTGAAGGTATGCAATCAGGTTCATGGGTAACTTCTTGTTTTGTTGTTTTTAGCTTCCATTGAAAAGGAAGCTTTCTTGGATTTTTTAAAAAACAATTTAATATAACCATTCAGAAGAGACATGATTTTTGTGTGTGTGTGTGTGGTATAAAGTATTTCACTGTGTCGACAATACATTACAGAATTCATTTTGTTCATATCTCACTGATTGTGTGGCATACTGTATGTAACCTTTTTTCTTCCACTTGAGAAGAGGAAACCTCTGGCATTCATGTAAACAGAAGCGGCTATTGGATATTTTTTCTACAGACCACGCTTAAAAATCACCCATTTCTTGCTTTGTTCAAACCAGAATATTCAAGTCTGTGTTGTTTTCTCTTTTAATTGGCACCTGGTTCTGGTCTCATTTGTTCAGATATGCAGATTTCAACAGGGCCCCATTATTTCCTTAAATACCCTCCTCTTTTGGTAGTCAGTTGGCCTCATTCATTTATGGCCATTATTAATTCCTTTTTTCATTGGTAAAAAGCATATGCATTTCATAGTGTCTGGCATGCCTACTTTGAATTCTGTCTTGATATAATTTGTTTTTCACCTTATAACGAATAGATTAGAATTGGGAACATAGTTTTGGAGAATCATCAAACTTAGCAGAATAGGCTATTACTGTAGATTGATTTTTTTTTTCTTTTGACATCATAAGTCCACAGAAGCAAACCCCATATTATTTTTTAAATCCATTTAGAAGGTAAAAATGCCTACCCAGAAATATCAGGCCACCTTTTCATGTATGGCTCTTCATCAGTATATAAGTCAGAGTACAATTCACTGTGTGTGTGGAGGAGATTGTGAAGTCTTTTCATTTGGACCCTGAACACAGTTGTCACCATCTGTCCATGGTTCAGTCACTGACTGCCAGCCTAATTGATTAGGGAAAATTACCTACTCCCCATAAAAGGTGACATGTTCTTTCATGCTCTGAATATACTCCTAATGGAGGCATGACATGGATGGCAGGATCTATTTTTGTTTAGCATTTGATCTATATTTACTGGTTGAAAGCCTGCATTTGTATTGCAGTATAGTTACAGGCTACCATGTAGCTCTTGTAACTAAAAATCTTTCTTTGTAATTCCATTTTATGGTCTGAAGGCCTGAATCTTAACGCTGGTTCTACCCAGCCGGTAATAGTGGTGCTTGGAGGTAGTTGCTCATTGTGAACATCTTCTGATATGAGGTGCTTAATTGCTGCTCCCCTCTCATTATACACATTGCATAACCAGTTCTATGATCCACATCAGGCTGACTGCATGTGCCAGTCCCCTTGTTCCTAGTCAATAAATGAGCATGGGGACTTTTTTTTTTACAAGGAATTTTGTGTTTGCTTTCACTTTTATATGTATTAATGTACCTGTCCAATTGCCATTTCTGATAGCTAGTAATTATTTGGGGAGGAAATCTGTGGGGCTTACGTATATGAGAACATTTGAATAAAGGAAAGGAAGCTCTTCAAAGAAGAATCCTTCATAAAGAAAAGGTTTGAAATTCAAGTGATTTATCAGCAAGACTGTTGAAGGCAGACTTTTATAGATAACTTTGAAAGGCCCATTATAGATAATTCTCAGGTCTCATATTTAGTATTGTTTTAATCCCGTCTATTTATCTTTTTCTTGTATTAGGGATATGTTATACCTTATGTATGAAAACATTTATATTAGTAGGATGGTTTTCTATTCCAGCAGCTTTATTCACCTGAAGTCATAACTTTTGGCTTGTGATGTTACTTCCAAGTAGCAATTCATAATCTTGCACAGATATCCCTTACTTTTGGTTGGCTTTAAAGTGGGGTGGGAAAGAAACTAGAAATGGATGAGCAGAATTGTTTGTTGAAATTTAGAATTTTTTACGCTATCATTAGAGTAACTCTGACAGCATAATGTTTTAGATTCTGGATGCCTTTCTGGGTTTTTACCAGGGATTTGCCACTTTCAAGGTGTCAGTAAGAACACAAGTAGAGAGGTACAGTTGCTTTCATGAGGCTTATGCTAAGGCATCATAATCCAGAACATTTATGGCAGTGTTTCAACTTCTTTGCTGCCAGGAATAAAATTAATCCAAGGTGGAAGTGTCCTCTCCAGGAGCTCAAATCCTTCTTTTCATTTCCCTTTTGGTTTTGCAACTAAGCATTTGCCATTTTTGGAAGACATTAGCTGTACTAATGTATCAAACAGTCCCCCAACCTTTTCCTTACTCATTTTAAATTGAAGTTAAGTAAGTCAATTCCAGGCAAGTAGTATATATTGGTAATGATTTTTGTCCTGAAGAACTACAGTGACTTGAACAATATGGAAGTGCTGATGCTGTTGCTTTGTATAAGAGCCCATAATGACAAAGTATTCTTGTCAGAGTATATAATGAAACTATAAATTGTTTTCATGAATGCTATGTTTGGTCTCTTACAGGACAAATTCAAAATCTATTTAGTACCACATCTCCTATATGTGAATAATATCAAGTTTTACAGTATGTGCAGTAGGAATATAACACTTCTTCACAGACATCCTCTCATGTGTTTGGTGAGAGAGTCTGATAGCACATTGTAAAAACTGAAGCAAGTTGTCTAAACCAGTGGTTCTTGTTATGTAAAGCTTCTGCTCAAATGCAATTGTAAGATCTGTAATTTGTATCCTTAAATTCTGCAACCTTTTTGCAGACTTTGTAACTTCAGGTATTGTTGGCATAGCCTTTTAAGTTTTATAACCTTTGCAAGCCTCTGTAACCTTATCACTTGTATGAACTTCCAAGCTTTGTAATATCCCATCCCTCAGAGAGAGTGTGAACGAGGGAGTGTGAACAAGGGAGTGTATGTGGGACTGGGCGGAGAGGAGCTGCAAGGAGAAAGGAACCCAGAGACAGGAGCCAGGTGTGTCTGATATAATCTGTCCTGAGAAGGCAATCACGAAGTGCTGTAAAGAGAAGAACAATGTGGTATGCATGAAAGGAACTGGTCCGGGAATGCTTCTCGGTGATGGACACAGAAGGAAAACTCCGTGTACGTGACAGGAGCTGCCCAGTTCCAGAAAAAAGAAGCAGCCATGCACACAAGCAGCTGCTGCTCCTTGACCTGCTCAGCAGCCTGGATTCGTGACCGCAGGCGGACACACCAGATCTACCATGCTTCGGCTCCTCGGTCTCCATGCTGTCTCCGGTAACTCTCCGCCTGGGTAAGTGTGTGGGTGCATGAGTGAATGTGTGCGTGTGTGAATAAGCTCTATCTCTTTTCTATCTGACCCAACAGCGGCATCGTAATAAAACTAATACAAGTGTGACCCTGGGTTGGTTTTTAGGGGAACAGAGGTTACCGTTCTCAGACTGGGGCCGCTGCTTGTTCAGGGAAAGCCCCTGGCGGGTCAGGCTGGTTTGTTTACCTGCTGCGTCTGCAGGTTCGGCCAATCGCAGCTCGCAGTAGCTGCGGTCCCCCACTCCAGGCCAATGGGGGCAGCGGGAAGCAGCGGCCAGTATGTCTCTCGGCCCGCGCTGCTTCCTGCAGCTCCCATTGGCCTGGAGCGGCGAACCGCGGCCACTGGGAGCTGTGATCAGCTGAACCTGCGGTCGCGGCAGATAAACAAACGGGCCCGGCCTGCCGGGGCTTTCCCTGAACAAGCGGCGGCCCTAGTTTGAGAACCACTGGTCTAAACGCTTTTTGAGAATTAAAATTCAGATATGGCAGAAAAGCATGATAAATACATATATAATATATACATACACTTTCTCCCACTTTTTCTCTTAATATCAGGGGCTCAAGGGAAAGTGGTGGCATGGGGTAGACTAGTACATAACTTTAATGGTCTGTACCCCAGTGCTAGGAATCTGGGTAGTAACAAACAAGAGGAATTGGAATTGCTCATTTATGAGCATAAATTTGATCTCGCTGGTATTACAGAAACCTAGTTTGATGATTCCCATGATAGGGATGTTAAAATCAATTGTTAAAGCCTATTTAGGAAGGATCAAGTGGGGGAAAGGGGAGGGGAGTGGCACTCTGTCAAAAATGGCATTACCTGTTTCTAAGTCCCTGATAATTCAAAAGAGAATGATTCTGCATGCCCACAGATCAATGTCCAAACAGATAAAGCATAAGATGGGATATTACTTGGTGTCTGCTACAGATATCCAAATCACATTAGGGAGCAGAACGACCAGCTCCTTACGCAGATATCTATTGTGTGTAGGGGGGGAAAAAGCTGTGTGATTATGGAGAACTTCAGTCTACATGCTTGAGGTCTCATAGTGCCAATATTAAAACATGCTTGGAATTTCTAAATATTATGGATGACAATTTCCTAACTCAAGAAGTGTTGCAACCGATACCAGGGAATTCTGTATTAGATCTAGTCTTGACAGATAGAGGAACTGATTACAGAACTAAAAATTAATGGTAATTTAGGTAATGATGGTTGGGAATTCTTTAAAAACGTTTTACTATATGCCCAAAAAACCACCATCAAGGTTAAGCTGTGGAATTACCTAGCTGCTTCTGTGGATGATGCGTAGGGGAAAAATGGCCTGGAAAATTTGTGACTTGAAACTGCTGGAATAATTTGGCCCTAAGAGTTAATTTTAGGATTCTCTTGTCCAGCAAATACTTTCCCAGTGATTCTAGTATATTAAAGTCTTCAGTTTTAACCTAGAAAGACACATACACAAACCTCTAAACCCTTAAAGATTAATTGCTCTTAAAATATTTTCTTAAAGAATGCAAACTTAGTTTTCTCAGGTCAACACGGTCTTGTGAATTAATGCTTTGTCCAATTACTTTCCCTTTTCTCTCTTGCAGTATCTCGTATGTAAAAGAAAGCTAGAAAGTAAAAAGGAAGCATTGCTGATACTTTCCAAGGAACTGGACACATGTCAACAGGAGAGAGACCAATACAAGCTTATGGCCAATCAGCTGCGGGAACGTCACCAGTCACTGAAAAAGAAATACCGGGAGCTGATTGTATGTTACCTTATGAACATTGTAGTGATTTGGGCAAGAATGAACGTGAATTTAAAAAGTGTTTTCCTTTCGTGAGTGCAGTGTGTGCTGTAAAAATTAATTGTTTGCTATACTACTTCCAGATGGATTGATCCCAATTCCACCATTATTTATTTGTTAAGCACTGATGTACTTGGCGCTATAAAAGTAGGCTTGGCAGGATTCAATTTAAATCGACAGATGTTGGTAAATGTCGGTTTCAGCTGCCACTCTGAAACTGATGATGGTAACAGTTGCTGTAGGTTCAACCTCCCCTCTGCACCTTGTGCCTGCAGGGATTGGTGTCACTGGCCCTGTGGCAGCACAGAGCCCTCTGCAGCCCTGCTGTCAACGGAGTGAGTGAGTAAGTGGAGCCATGACAATGGGCCTGTAACACTGGACCTCCGCAGATGCAAGGTGCGAGGAACACACAGGTTCTGGCGGGCAGAGCTGAGACCTCTGGCCAAAGCTGTAAGGAGAAGGACAAGCCTCTGGCCATGGGAGAGGCCACCTCAGTGCTGAATGGCTCTTGCCCAGGGACGGAGCCATTCAGCGTGGGGTGATCTCCCTCCTCTCCCACATTGAGTGGCTAGTCGTCGTCCTGGCAGCCCTGCCCGGAGATCTGTGCTCTGCCAAGCCAGGACTGCAGCCTCCTCCGCACCTTGCACCCAGTGACTTGGGCCTCTCGACGGCACAGAGAGCATCCCGCAACTCTGCAGCGGAACCCCTCTGTAGCCCTGCTGTCAGTGCTGCCCTAACCTGCTCCCCTTAATTTCCTGCAACTGTAAAAATAAAAATAGTTAATTGAAAAAAATTAATTAACTGATTAAAAAAACATTAAATTCTGCCAAGACTGTATATAAAGCACAAACAAAGTCTGTTCCAATCCCAAGGAGATTAGTCTAAAAGTCACGCTACCATTTAAAAACTGACTGCAGTGTTATGCCATGGAGAACAATGCAGTAAATAAATCTTAACTTTCCAGTTTATGTTAACTTCAGAAGATTCTTGGAAGTGTCTTTTTAATCGAACTGCAACTTTTTGAAACCTAATTTTTGAAAACTATTGGTTAAGATACATTCTGGTGTGTTAAAGTCTCAGAGCCACAAATATTATATGGTTACCGATTTCCGAAATAAGTTGCTGATAAAATGCATCTCTTTATTTGTAGGATGGGGATCCCTCTCTTCCTCCTGAAAAAAGGAAACAGGTAGGCTTTTTCTGTTTTAGTTGGCATCATATATAAACTATTTTATGAGAATTCAAACTCTTAATTATATTGATGTCAATAAAACAAAATCTGATACTCAAGTGGACATTCCAATTCACATTGGAAGACCATGAAGTCTTCAGTGACTCGTGCTTTCTTTTAAACACGTTAACTGTTGAAATATCTGAGCTATCATTAATAAACAGAGCAAATGGTTATGCCTATCATTTTACCTAAACTGAAATCAACAAGGATAATGAGTTGAGATTGCCTTCTTCATTTGTTTCTTGTAGTTGGGTCCTAAAACAGGTGAACAATGGGGGCATCATGGTGTCAAAGGGGGCTTAGGAATGTGTTGAGTGTATACCAGTTACTTACACTGTGTTTAGGTGCTCTTTCCAATTGCATGCCCTCCTGGTTTTGGGAGGGTTTCAGTGGGGAGCTGTATTAATTGCTTACATTTATTTTAGGCCAGAGGTTCAGATACCGTGTTCAACAGAGTACTTGTTGGTCTGTAGAGAGTTGTCAGTTGCACGAGGATGGATCTTGGTTTCTACTGAGAAATACAAGAAATGGGAGGGTGTGTTGAAATGAAGAACAAAAATAACCATTGTAACTTCTCAAAAAGGGCAAAACATCTAGTGCACTAAAGACAGGCGAAAATACATGGATATTTTCCTGTTGTTGTCTTTGAATGTAAGTGCTTTCTTTTTTTTCTTTTTTTTTTTCTTTGCCCCTGGGATATTACGTGAGCACAGATAGGAGGAAAGGTGGTCTGGGTGAGCCCAAATGAAAGGTGTCCATGAAACAGTCTCTCTAAGGTGTAGCCCACACTATTGAGAGTTTGAGAATCCCCATTTTAGTCAGTCATCAGTCCCTCCTGGTGCCTAACATTCATATTAACAGCTTTTCCTTCTCCGTATCTACCGTAATTTACCATTTAAATAACCTAAATTCATATCCCTTTAAACTCCAGAGAGGTGAAATCCCAATCCATATCCCCAAATGTTCAAAAATCAACTCAGGCCTAAAAAAAATCATGAGATTGGCTTAGAAATCTTGACTTTTAAAAATAACAAATTATGGTTCCTTTTTGTTTTGAGTCTCTAAACTTCACTCAGGTCACATTTTTTCTGCAACCTACAGAGCTTAAAACTTCCTTTTAAAAATCTAAATTTTAAAATGGTAACTGAGCTGTTCATAGAACCACTTGACTCCAGGAGCTGCCATTTTAGGAAAAAACACCAACTATGGTGAGACTTGTGATGATTTGTGATAAGTTTTGGCAACACTGCACAATACTTCCCTTCAAAATGGTCTACAGAAAAGTAAGAAGAATGCTGAAGATAATGTATGCAGGAAGGTTAGAAAACAGCGCTTAGAAGTAAGTACATTTTAAGGGCTAAAGATTTAAATGTACTGTAAATACTGCCTATGTGCATGGGAGTGAATTAAAACCACATGTCAACTTCTATTTTGAGTTTACTGGCTCTATTGTGTTAGTGACACCTGTGGAGCTGCCATTCCACATATGCGTGTCAGCATGTGGCAGGGACACCCCTCCATGTTTACCTCCTCCTTTAACTTTAGATTAGAGGGCAGAGAGGGGAGCTGGCTCCTCTGTCTCAGATCTGGTTGGCCAGAGGACTGGGTCAGAATCCCATTCCTGCCTTCCCATTGCCTGGCTGCTTCCCATTGGAGAAGGAAAGTGCCACTCCACAAATGGAGCTTAGCTCTGCCTCACTGGGGATGGGATTGGTTGACTATAGGCTACTTGGGTGGCAGAGGGGTGTTGCTGGGATAAGACTGGGTTTGGGCGGCAAGCACCTGCTGTTGCTGCAGGGAGTAGGTCTAAACACAGCCTTAACCCAGAGCTGGGATATTGGCCCACAGAGCAGGCTAAGGCACTCCCATAGCCAGGCTGGAGGAGTAGGTGAAACCCAGCAGAGGAAGCCCTGACAAGCATGGAGACCACTGGGCTGGACACTACAATATAGCAGCATCCAAGATTCACAACTTGGAGCTCACACCCCACCCAAACATGAGTGATCAGTGCAGGGGACAAGAGATGCCCTCTTTTGGGGCTAAGGGACTCTGACTAATGAAACACTTGGAGGAGAGGAAGGTGATTAGGAACAGTCAACATGGATTCACCAAGGACAAGTCATGCCTGACCAACCTGATTGCCTTCTATGATGAGATAAGTGGCTCTGTGGATATGGGGAAAGTGGTGGATGTGATATACCTTGACTTTAGCAAAGCTTTTGATACGGTCTCCCACAGTATTCTTGCCAGCAAGTTAAAGAAGTATGGATTGGATGAATGGACTATAAGGTGGATAGAAAGCTGGCTAGATCATCGGGCTCAACATGTAGTGATCAATGGCTCGATGTCTAGTTGGCAGCCAGTATCAAGCAGAGTACCCCAGTGGTCAGTCCTGGGGCTGGTTTTGTTCAACATGTTCATTAATGATCTGGATGATGGGATAGATTGCACCCTCAATAAGTTCGTGGATGACACTAAGCTGGAGGGAGAACCCTCAATAAGTTCGTGGATGACACTAAGCTGGAGGGAGAAGTAGATACGCTGGAGCATAGGGATAGGGTTCAGAGTGACCTAGACAAATTGGAGGGTTGGGCCAAAAGAAATCTGATGAGGTTCAACAAGGACAACTGCAGAGACTTTAGGATGGAAGAGTCTCGTGCCCCACTATAGGCTGGGGACTGACTGGCTAAGTGGCAGTTCTGCAGAAAAGGACCTGGGGATTACAGTGGACGAGAAGCTGGATATGAGTCAACAGTGTGCCCTTGTTGCCAAGAAGGCTAACGGCATATTGGGCTGCATTAGTAGGAGCATTGCCAGCAGATCAAGGGAAGTGATTATTCCCCTCTATTCGGCACTGGTGAGGCCACATCTGGAGTATTGCATCCAGTTTTGGCCCCCCCGCCCCCACTACAGAAAGGATGTGGACAAATTGGAGAGAGTCCAACGGAGGGCAATGAAAATGATTAGGGGACTGGGGCACATGATTTATGAGGAGAGGCTGAGGGAACTGGGCTTATTTAGTCTGCAGAAGAGAAGAGTGAGGGGGGATTTGATAGCAGCCTTCAACTACCTGAAGGGGGGTTCCAAAGAGGATGGAACTAGGCTATTCTCAGTGGTGGCAGATGACAGAACAAGGAGCAATGGTTTCAAGTTGCATTGGCTGAGGTCTAGGTTGGATATTAAAAAAACCTATTTCACTAGGAGGGTGCTGAAGCACTAGAATAGGTTACCTAGGGAAGTGGTAGAATCTCCATTCTTAGAGGTTTTTAAGTCCTGGCTTGACAAATTAATGGAGATATCCCATCTCCTAGAACTGGAAGGGACCTTGAAAGGTCATCAAGTCCAGCCCCCTGCCTTCACTAGCAGGACCAAGTACTGATTTTGCCCCAGATCCCTAAGTGGCCCCCTCAAGGATTGAACTCACAACCCTGGGTTTAGCAGGCCAATGCTCAAACCACTGAGCTATCCCTCCCCCCCAGCCCTGGCTGGGATGATTTAGTTGGGGTTGGTCCTGCTTTGACCAGGGGGTTGGACTAGATGTCCTCCCGAGGTCTCTTCCAACCCTAATCTGTGATTCTGTTTCTAAATTGCTTGCCTGTCCCCTTCACCTGTCAGAATCCAGTTTAAAGGCTAACTCCATTCAGTTACTCTTGGTGGCTGTTTCCGACTATCAAGAATTAGTCAAAAAGCTGAGCAGTGTGTCTACAACCCCTTGTCATCAGATTTGTGCAGGAAGTACTGCTGGCCTTTTGCTAAAGCACTAAGAGCCATGAGTGGGAATCCTGAAAGATAACATCTTCAGAAAAGCAGCGTTGGGAGGTAAGCAATCATCCCTTATCTACTACATGGATGTTGTGAAGATTGATTAATGTGATTTCCCTTTTGTTAAGGGGGTCTGAAGATGAAAAGCACTACTCATGTGCCAAGTACTAGTAATAAAATGAGACCTACCAGCTTTGTTCTGGTTTGTGGGTGAGTGACTCCCTTACTGTGAAGGGGCAGATGGAAAACTGCAAGATTGTTTGTCCTTGTAATGCTTCAGAGAATAGTATTCTTGTATATTTCAAACTGCACCTGCTCAGAAGAATCCTGCCTGCAGAGTGGAAGGACCCTAGTTTCTACATATCTTTAGTCTTGTAGAAACAGGGCATTCTGTGTGTTGTGAACGTGTAGGTCGAAAACTAGGATTTTTAGCAATGTTGCAAATCTTGTTCTGTAGGATGACAGTGTTTTTGTTTTTCTCATAATGTAGTTTAAAAAGAAAAGGTGCCCTGAGAAGTTGAATCTAACCATCATGGTACCCGGTTTCAAAATGTTAGAATCTTTTCAGGCCCAACCCCTCATGCTCCCTGTGCTCCTCTTCTTTCTCCGTTTCTTACTTCGCTGGAATAGAGAACCCTTGCCCATGGATAAACTTTAATATCCTTGGAAAACACCCCAATGTTCATTAATCATAACACTCTCAAAAGGCTACAAAGATCTTGTTTTTCTGTTTTACCTTCTGCTTGAGGCAAAGTTGTTCATCTCGAATTCTGAAAGCAACTGAAATGACTCCCATAAAACAATCACATGAGAGGATTTTCTTGTCGGGCAATATGGAGGCCTTTATTTAAGCAGAAAATAATCCTGTTTAGCTAGATCTGACAAATATTTGACCCAATAACACAGGGATCGGCAACCTTTGGCACGTGGCCCGCCACGGAAAGCCCCTGGCGGGCTGGTTTGTTTACCATCTGCTTCCGCAGATTCGGCCGATCGCGGCTCCCACTGGCTGCGGTTCACCGCTCCAGTCCAATGGGGGCGGCGGGAAGGAGCGGCCAGCACATCCCTCAGCCCGTGCCGCTTCGTGCAGCCCCCATTGGCCTGGGATGGCAAACCGCAGCCAGTGGGAGCCCCGATCGTCCGAACCTGCGGACGCGGCAGGTAAACAAACCGGCCCGGCCTGCCAGGGTGCT